TATATTACATTAACCTGTATTATTGCATTTTGATTCCAAACCAAAAACCCAAATTTTGTGTGCATACCAGAAGAGAAGCCAAATGTTTTTAACATACAACTGTACTACTATAAGATCCCTAAGTGTCCTATTCCAGAACTACATGAACTATGCTGAGGAAACTCAAGTTAATAGCCGGTTTGTTTTATATTGCTGCATCACAGCCTCTTTTACCATCTGACATAGGAAGCAAACATAACCTGTATTTAGTTTGTAGATGCTAAGATACTATGCTGACACAAGCACCATCAGAGAGAGTGTGTGTGTGTGTTATATAGTCCTCCAGCTCTCACCTGCTCCGCACTGCTGGTGAACACACCGTACAACAGCAATTAATTACGCTTCAGCACTGCTGACAGAATCCCTATAGATATATCAGCTATTTCTGTCACATATTCTTCAGCCCTGTCTTAAGACATGTTAGCATTTTTTTTCTGTTGTCCTTATTGATTTCTCTCTTTCATCTCTAAAGTTGACTCCCATCTACACCTTGTTCATACACGAGGCAGGAGCAAATACCATAAATCAGTGGTGCTTAGACCAAATACTGGTTCCGTGTCCCTTTTTATATTACATTAACCTGTATTATTGCATTTTGATTCCAAACCAAAAACCCAAATTTTGTGTGCATACCAGAAGAGAAGCCAAATGTTTTTAACATACAACTGTACTACTATAAGATCCCTAAGTGTCCTATTCCAGAACTACATGAACTATGCTGAGGAAACTCAAGTTAATAGCCGGTTTGTTTTATATTGCTGCATCACAGCCTCTTTTACCATCTGACATAGGAAGCAAACATAACCTGTATTTAGTTTGTAGATGGCATGTTTTTATATTTTAAGCTGAAGAATAGCAGAACCGAATGACGTCTGTTAAAATGAAGTGCTATATGAGCTGTGGCGTAAAATATTTTTGTTATATTTCACTGTAGCGCTTGAAAGCATCTGTGACCATCACAAATTTTACACACAGTGATACAGCAAGATTTATAAGACCATTTTATGATGGTTGATTGTACATGAACAAATCTAATTATCCAGAAATAATGCTAAACATTTGTTTTAATGTTAAGATAATGTTTAGGTAACATCCAGATGAGTATGTGCAAGAATAATACAGTTTGGCCTAAATCCTCAATTTTGATAATGAAGCATTCATTGTTCAATATTAATAACTTTTACTAAGCTTTTTTTCCAGAATATTAATACATTCTCAAACTTGTTACAGAATATACCTTATAATTGTATTACTCGCATTAAATCTATAAAATCCTTTGCAGTAACTTTGGGAGTCATAAATCAATAATTTCCTCTTGATCACTTTCATCACATCATTGGATTCACAGTTAGTTATTCCTCCCCTTACCTGTAGAGTCTCTGCGCGAGATTACGACATTTCTTACGCGGATGCGCAGAGCTTTTCTAATCCAAAATATGGTCATGATTAAAACGGATGATTAAAATAGCATATATACAGAAGTGATGCTAATACTCATTGAGCGCATACAGTACGTTTGGCTTTAAGAGCCCTGCATTGGCACGCTATTAAAATCCCCCATCACACAGGATGCTCATGAGTCATGAGTGGATGAGAGAGCCGCGCTTACCGGAGAGAATTGGATTTCTTGTTTGAAACGCATAATATATTCCTTTCCTCTCAATCGCGGGATCGAGTTCCAGACTTGTACTTCCAGTGTGAGAGATGTGGGGTCTCTCTCCATACGGTTGTTCTGGAAAAGATGCTGAGCACACCGCGGACTGAGGACCGGAGAAGCGCGTATCCATCCAGCTGTCTGTGCCGCGCTCCTAATGAAGCACACATGCTCGTGCGCGCATCCTCCACCCAGTCTCCCCGGGGACAGGCAAATTGCTGCCTGTAGTTCGTGCGTTCAGTGCAAACTGATTGGTCGAGCAGAGCTGTCAGTCAGGTCAGGACTCCCGAAAGGGGGCGGGGCTACTACATCTCTCGCTTTTACCGTCTGTTCACTGTGCAATCTCAAACTTCTCTCTATCATTGCCTTGTCAACATAATTTCTATTTGTATTTTTCTGCGCTCTGCCCGTGAGGCTACGACTGATAAAGATGCGCAATTTCAATATTCAAATGCTGTCGACCAGATCAGTGGTTCTCAAGTAGCTTTGCTCAGATTTGACTTTGGACATTAATTGGTTCAGTATATAGGTATATGCACACACACACACACATACACCCTCCAGCTGAAAACCACTGGACTAATTCTGACTATATTTAAAACATTTATTGAGGCATTTGGATAATGAGAGCTTTCTAATTTTTTGATTATTTTTTCCAGTTTGGCCAACAGTTTTTGCAAGATATAATCAATATCGAAAGTCTTTAGATAAGTCTTTCTTAACACACACTCAACCGGGCTCTTGCATTTACTGCAAAATCCTACTTGACAAATCAGAATATATTCTCCCAGCATGCCGTATGTAACACTTGAGATAAACACCAACAACATTCAGGCCTGCAGAGGTAATGAAAATCACAAATCAGGCTGAGCGTCAGGGCTGTTGCAGAAGAGGCGCCTGTGTGTGTGTGTGTGTGTGTGTGTGTGTGACGGATGGAGGCTGCGCTAGAGCTGTTTGAAGATTTAACGTCGCATAGGTTCTGACAGGAAGCTTGAAGTGATGCGTTCATTGAATTTTCTTTTTTTTTTATCTGAAATTTGATTTTAAATGAATTTTAAAACAGAAAAGTGGCATCAAGAATGGTCTCAGACTTTTGGGACCTCATCAAACTGTTATGTAGTTAAAAACTAGCAATAGAGTAAACTTTATTTAACAAGAGATAACACAAAATGTCCTACCGATGCCTTGTGAGATATCTAGAGGAACAGTTTTTGTTCTGGTGCCTAGATTTTCAAGACAAGGTGTTCAGACTGTCACAAAGGAAGTAGGCAATTTCTCACCAAAGTGCTTCCTCAGCATTTGAGGGACGTTTTGCACCATAGTACACACTTCAACCGTGAGAAGTCATCTTATAAGAAGCCTTACAGGGTGTGTTGCAGCTGAGAAAGCGGTCTTGCGGAAAGGAAACGAGCAGAAAAGATTACTGTACATGAAATTCCATAAAACATGGAATGACAACCAGTGGCAGAATGATTCAGAAGTGGGTGGGATGAGAAGTTTGCAGTCTCCTGGAAGACGAGGTTGTGGCTCGAGCACAGTCAGGGTCATTGTGGGTAATGATGTGGGGATCAGGTCAAAAATGATGGAACAAATACTTCAAACACTACAAATGTAACACTTACGAAGACTTGACCTCAAAATAAAAGCTATGTGGGATAAATTTCACTAACAGAAATCCTGGAAATGTTCAGGAACTTGGGGTTGCCAGGCCTGGAAAAGTCATGGAAATAATTGTAACTAGTCATGAAAAAGGAATTTTGTTTCTTTGCGATAAATCACTCTTTTGTGCCATTTATTATGATGGAAATTACAATTGAAAATTTACATTGTGTATATAATATGATCTATGATCTATAATATGATATGGTTTTAAGTGTTATTTTAGTATTATTTATATACTGTTATAGTATTTATTAATATTTTTAATTTGCTTATATACACTGAACAAACTTATAAACGCAACACTTTTGTTTTTGCCCCCATTTTTCATGAGTTGAACTCAAAGATCTAAGACTTTTTCTATGTACACAAAAGGCCTATTTCTCTCAAATATTGTTCAGAAATCTGTCTAAATCTGTGTTAGTGAGCACTTCTCCTTTGCCGAGATAATCCATCCACCTCACAGGTGTGGCATATCAAGATGCTGATTAGACAGCATGATTATTGCACAGGTGTGCCTTAGGGGGGCCACAATAAAAGGTCACTCTAAAATGTGCAGTTGTACTGTCTGCCATCTGTCCTGTACAGTGAAAACCGGGATTCATCCGTTTTTAAGTGGGAGAACTTGCACAATTGGTGGCTGACTAAATACTTTTTTGCCCCACTGTATATATATGTGTGTATATATATATATATTCAGTTTTCTAGTTTTAGTGCTTTTCTCATTTTTATTTCTTTTATATTCTTTATAAATGTATTTTTATCTGAATTTTGTATTTTTTACTTCAACTTTATTTTATTTCAATTAGTTTTCAAGTCAATATTTCTAATTTCATTTAAGGTATTTTTTCCAATTTTTTTTTTCTTTTTTCATTTTGGCTAATATTTTATCTAGTTTTTCATCTAATATTTATATTATATTTCATTTTAGCTTTATTTCCGTTAACAAAGACAATGTTTAATAGTTTGAATAGTTTAATAGCTTTAGGTAACAATAACTCTGGTTTTAAAAAAAATCTTTATTCAGTGACTTTATAGGTCATTAAAAATGGATGGAAATCCACTTTTGGAAATATAATAAAGTTAAATAAATATAAATAATATAAAAAAATAAGTCACATTGTGAGACTTTGTGAGCCACACTACGAGATAGGCTAAAAAATTACAATTACAAAACATAAATTTGCTAGCTAAAAGTCACATTATGAATGTGCAAATATGAGAAATAACGTTTTTTGAGATATAAAGTGAATTTTTTTATTTTTTTTTGTTTGTGGCAGAAACAGTCTCCTGTAACAAAAACAGCCAAAATTCATAGACAAGTAAATATACAACATTCAAGAAGTATTTTCCTTTTCCTACATTTAAAACTTTAGGCATTGTCCCAAATGAGTACACTATAACTGAATCAAATGAAATATGATCTAATAATATTGCGCCCTGAAAATCAAGAGTTTTGACATTTCATTGAGTCTTTTCTTGACTTACTCCAGCAGATAAGACCCATCTGGTCTCTGAAAACTGTCCATAATGCCCCATAATCCACTGAGCTCAGCAGCATCCTCAAATAAACCAGGAAGAGTTCTGTCATCATCAGTATGCAAATACTGTAGTCTTACCATCACATATCTGTTCACTCCTTTTGTAGGAGCCCAAAGGACCCTCAGCAGAAGATCATCAAACGGGTCATTGGGATCGAGGGTGACTTCATCAAGTAAGTTTTCCGAAATTAAGTTATGAACAAGGTGCAAATGAAGTTTGATGTGTCCTAGATGGCATCAAGATTGATTCTTGAGTTTTAATGGCCTAAAATGTTTTGTTTGCCACTTAAATGTTGCCTGAAAATTGTTTACTGCTGCGTTTACACTTGGCATTAACATGCGATCACCATGATCTGATCAAGCAGATCGGATCATCAGTCAATCAGGACACGGCGCGTTTACACTTGGCAACATCAGCTGACTTCTCGATCTGGATAACCGATCGGATCTGTATTTCCTGCGCAATATTTAAATAAGTCTGCGGTGCAAAGTCGACCTGAAGTGGTGGGTTTTCACATAAAAATATAAATTCTAAAGTGCATTTTTTTAACCATTGATTTTATTTATTTATCAAGAAATTCGGTGCATAAAATACGCTTCTAAGTGGAAAAATAGACTATATTAGCGAATAATTGTGTTGGATAGAACCATTTCTCCTGCTCATCGGAACACACGCAAATGCTGAAAGACAGAACCAACCAATCAAAGACAGCGTTCGCTGCTGACACATGGCTCAAAGTGCTTGTTCAAATAGGGCTGCTTTTCCCAAAAGCATCAGACGCGTAAGTAGATCTTAAGAAACCATTGCCACATTATTACATTAGCCTACATAACATTGTTACGATATATAAAATTAATTCTGAAAAATGCATCACGGTTTCCACACAAATATGAAGCAGCAATAATAATAATAAATAATAATAAAAAATGTTTGTTTTGTGTTTTTCAAATAAGTGCAGCCTGGGTGAGCATGAAACATAAAAAAAAGTACAAAATCTTACTGACCCCAAACTTTTGTGTACATGTAATATTTATTTTAAATTGGCTAGTTTGTGCAAGTAAATGCATTTAAACTGGTTGTTAAAAGTTCAAATGGATTGTGTTATGTTCTGTTATTGCTGTTAATAAATCTGTCAGAAAAAAATATGCTAAAGTTTCACCTTTAGGGGTACAACAGCCTGGCAGCCTTTTACAAAAATTAACCATGGTTTTATTACAGTAACCACAGTTTACCACAGTATTTGTAGTAAAACT